CAAACATTGCCTATTGCATGTTCTTTTAGTTCATCACAATTGATTACTACATTAGACTCACTGCTTTTGCGTTCATCATCTGCACAGACCTTCTCCTTCTTCTTTTTGCTTATTGAATTCTCAAATTTTTTGCTCTTAATTTGAGAACTTTCACGTTTATTTGACGTCGGTTTGTGAAGAACACGTTGGTCAACTGCTGCTATTTGATTCGCTTTAACACTGTCTAATGCTAGTTGATTCAATTGTTGTTGATTGTAGTAGAAAATTTTGATTTTGCTAATCAACGTACGTAATGACTTTTCTTCAGATAAAATGAGCTTTTCTCGCAAATTGTTGTTATGCAGACCGAAAATTATTTGATCACGAATGGCTTCTTCTTTGAACTCATTAAATGCACAGCTATCGGCTTGGGTTTGAACGTCACTAATGAACTTGTCGACAGATTCGCCTTCTTGTTGAATTCGACCACATAACTTCATTCGTTCAATTAAAAAATTTGATAACGGTCAAAAATGATTCTCGAGAGCCTCAAACACTTTTTCATAGTTCTGCTTCTCTGGATCTGTTAACGGCAGATTCTTGACGATATCCACTGACTTATATCCCATCAATAGTGTCAAGAAATTGAGTTTGATGTTGTCGGATTTCTCATCAAATTGGTTGATTATTAAATATGAGTTGAATTCTTTTGAAAATCGTATCCAATCAATTTCTAACGTCGAAGCTTCAAAATTGAACTTTTCAATACTTAAATACAGCCGCGCCATGTTTTATTTTTGATTTTTCAATGAAACACGTCTTCATGTTTTTGTTCGAGATATTCAACTGATTTATTGTTTTTCTCGGATTACTGAGATCATTATTTTACAGTTATTCAACAATTAATTATTTTTGTGAAAACTCTTTAGTCATATATTTGCAAATAAAAGTGCATAATTAATATAAATAGAAAGTAGATATATAACAATATATAATTTGATTAATTTCAGTGTGAAAGTGCATAGATTGACATTAAAGTTGACATTTCGATAAAAAGAGCATGAGTTTTCAAACACATGATCATTTTCATAGACACTTTACATATCTGGAACTAGATATTGGAAGAATTTCGAGTGAAAATGCAAGAGTGGCCTCTCCTTATCCATTTATAGTTTTTTGACTCATCTCTAAATAGTTTTCGAACCATTTTGATTCCAGTAATTCAGCTTTTCGACCGATGTAAAGAGCTACCTTTCATACAGAACAACCAAGAGTCATTAATCCAGTTCCATTAAATCAATTTTCCTTTACTGAACCTCGACACCGCTACATCATATAAATTGGGTGATTTTGTCGTGTTAGGTCTCTGCCGTGTTTCACACACACAAAATATATCACACGAACAAAACCAAATTTTATTTAAAAACCAAAAATTAAAAAGTAAGAATGGTAATTAATATTATTAATAAATTATAACTTTACAATTAAAAAACGAATAATTATTAGTGAGGGTTTAAACCTTTATTCAAGAATTTTCGTAATTTTATATTACAGTACTACTACTAATCTTAAACTAAACGGTCGGATTGAAAAGAGTATCATGATAAAACAAAAATAATTTAAATTATTTGTTCAAATATCTTTTTTGTGATTAAACCGTTGTAAAAGTATTTTTTTTTTTAAAAAAAATTATTAACATTATTTCTATATTATCAGCTTGATACTCTTACTTTAATATGGTCAAACGAAATAGGGATTAGGGATTTTAGTAAACTTAAATGATCAAAATTAATTTTTTAAAAAAAAACACGAAAATAGTCTTCTTAGTATTGCCTCACGTGTGAGAGTTGTATCCGTAGCATCATTTCATCTTTATGCAATTCTTACGATGACAACACATGATGGCCTTCAGAGAGATAAAGCAAGAGGAGAAGCAACATTTTTCTTATTTTTAAGTTTGGTTACATCTTAATATGAAGAACATCAATATTGATTTTATTAAGATTATGCTTAGTGGCGGTTTATTTATTACGTTCGTGAAGGGGGTAGGCGTGGCAAGATTTCAAGAATTCCATTGTTCTTTTTCGAAGAAAAAAACCCGATATTTCCGAACGTAATAAGTGAGCAATTCCTTATCGATGTTCATCAAAAAAAAAAATTATTTTGAAATTTCTAATTAATAATTTTATTTTTTTTGACTTAATTTTCGTTTAGGGATCATGAAGAGTTGAAAAACTCATGATATTTTGTAATTGCGATGTTTAAAAAAAAATCATTATTTTTCAAATCCTTCGTAAATATTTACGTTTGATTTTCGAACGTAGGCGAAATCTTACGTAAATCATTTTTTGTACAAAAATCGAAATCCTACACTCAGAAAAAAAAAATCAAAAATTTACTATTACTTTATTTTTTTTGGTTTTTTGTCTATTACTCTTAAACGACAAACCTAACAATAAAACTTGATATATTGTTTTATAGAACTTTTTGATGCCTATCTATTTGTATATAAATTTTTTGCAGAAGTGCTATACTTAAGGCTGTGGAGTCTAAAAAGTGACAAAATCTGACACTGAATTTTTGGGAAGGGTATTTGAAATTTTACTAAAACTAGTCTATCTCGCTTAGTTTTACACCGATTTCGATAGTTTTTTCAGCAATAGTTAGTTTAAAACTACAGTTATCATTAAAAAGTAATAAAAACAAAATGGCGACTTAATAAGTTAATTTAATTAATGTTTTTAACCTTATTTTCTATATTTTACTTTCAATTTTTAACTTACTTAACTTTTTTCTTGACACAAATATAGTTTTAGACCTTGGCTTTATGATAGAAGCCAAAAACTTTTGAAAAAAGTAGTATAGTTAACTTTTTTGGTCATTTTGTAAAATTGCCTTTAAATGGCAATTGAATAGATATTCTTTAAATTTTATGATGTAAAATGATAATTATACATCAAATATTTTTAGTTCTAGCAAAATGTATCACAATATAATGTTATAGAACAAGAAAAAAGCAAAAACTTTAAAAACTTTAACCAAAAATTTTTAACCGTTTTTGAAAATTTAAATTTTTGAGTTGATTAAAGAGTTGTACAATAAACTTTTTGTTAAATTAACTAAATTAAAAGGCTTTATTGCAGTAAACTCTTGCAGGAAAGTTATAATTTATCATTAATTAATGCTTTTTGAGGGACAATAATGAAAATTTCATTAAATTTATATGTAAAATCAATTTTGGCTAATTTAACTAATTTTGTGTATTAATTTGAAAATGTGTGTATGATAAATGAAAGAAAATAAGATTCTCAACAACTTTTATGAACATATCAGCTCGTTTTACAGCTTCCTTCTTGGATAAAAATAACTTTGCATGTTTGATTTAGAAATTAAACTAACTTATGAAGTCGCCATTTTGAATTTTTTTGGTTAAAAAATTAGTTTTTATATTTGGCTATAATCCACTGAAAGAATTATGAAGATTGAACAACTAAACTCTAAGTAAATCAACTTTCAATATTTGTTCACTTTTTTCGCGGTCTTGCCATACTCGTTTTAAAAATCTTAAGTACATAATTTAAAAAAATAAAACTTTTGAATTTAATGTACAATTTTTGATTTTTAAAAACTTTGCAACTTAATGAAAAAAATTTAGATTTAAGTTTTTCTTTTTGAGTTTTTTAATACTAGTTTTTTTCTTTGAATATATGTAAGTAAAGATTTATGGCGGATTTGAAACAAGATTTTTGAAAATCACCAAATTACGTGATTTTAGAAAATCATGAGAGTTTCAACTCCTCACGAGCCCTGTTTTAAGACAAAGAAATCCCTTTGGAGGAAAAAAACAAAAAAAAAATTAGAACCTATCTTATATAATGAAATAAATTTTCCTGTCGTTGCCTTTATCGTGTTATTTTTCTTCCTCCTTTAGTTTAACCTCCTTACAACATTTAAACATGATAAAACAATACAACTAAGCCTTATCTTAATTCACGCATAGAAATATATCAAACGCATGATTAGATTTAATTCCGATAGCATTTTGTGCAATTTTCTTAAATATTTGTCTCTTTTGCGGAATTATATATATATATATACATATTATATATATTATATATAATTATAGAGCTCGGTCGAATAAAAAGTTCCGTTGAATTTCAACGGTTTTTTGAAATTCAATTTTTGTTACTTTCCCCTTCAATTAAACGAAAAATTACTTTGCAAAATATCGTTTAAATTAATATCAATGTTTTCTTTTGAGCATTGTAATGCATCCAATAAATTTTTCTTGATCTGTTCTGTGATGTAAACAAACGAATGGAATAATTCAAATTTTGACCATTATGAAAAAAGTCTTTCAGAAAAATCATTAATTTAACTAATTTAAACAATCTTTTTGAAGATTTTAATAGCAAAGGGTTATGAAGAATTGAAAATCTAACAATTGAGTATGATTTTTGTATCTTGTAATGAAGTTTTCGCAAAGTTATTAGTATTTTTTGTGAAAATTCAAAATAATGAAACTTTTTTTCAGTGTCAGAAATCGGTTGTTTTTTCTGTTTTTTGACTTAATTAAAGTTACTTATGTTATGAAATTCATGTCAAATAACGCGTTTTTGAAAACTATGATACTTAATGATTATTTAAATGTCCAGGAAATGAGAAAAAAGTGAAAACTTCTCGATTTCTGATACTTATTCAACAAACGACCAAGCCCTATAATTATAATATATATATAATTATATATTATATAATTATATACATAATATATCTATATATACTATATATATATATATATATATAGATATATATATATATATATATATATATATAATTTTTCCCGCAAATAAGTTTATTTTTTAATGTTCAAGGGTTGCTATTGATATTTATCTGGAATAAACGTGTTTGATCGTTCAAATGCAGTTAATAGTTAAATATCTAATTTCTTATAAAAGATAAAAATGAGTGATTTGAAATGAACAGAAATTAAGCACTTTTAATTCTAAATTAAAAATAACTTACCAAAATAATTTTAATCAACTACACTCTTCTTCAGTCCTGTATATATAATATATATTTTAATATGTTTCAATTTTTAAAACATCTTTTGAATTGTTACTTAAGATTAGATGGTTAATCACGTGCAAACCTGTTGCGTAGGTGGTGAATCAGTTGGCAATGTATCATCTAATAGAAGCTCATTTGTTGAATCATTGGTGCTATCAAACTAAGATTATCACAAAAAAAATAGGGAGAAAAATTGAAAATTAAAAGTACATCAATGATATTTAAAGGAAAGATATTTAACAGTTCCTCATTAGATCAAATAAAAAAATTCTTTTAGTATAACTCACTGATTCGTGATGAACTTTGTTTCGCTTTGGATTAGCATTCAAATTTGATTCTACAGACAATCGCTTTTTCACAAATTGCGTCATTGAAGACGACGAATTATTTAATGATTCTGATGCCTTTCGTTCTCGTTTAACAAAGCTACTATCTATGTATTGAGATAATTGTTTTCGGCGAACATGACGAGCTTCAATTTTCATACCCTCTTTAAGCATTTTAATATTTACCTTGAAAGCAAAAAAGAAAAAATATATGTAGGAATAGTTAAGTGAAAAAAAAATTGTGTAAGTCCTCGTGTTGTTGATTGAGAGACTTCAGTGCTTTTTTTGACGCAGCAATCAGTAATTTTTAGCAACAAAATGCGAGTCAATAAGCAAATAGCTCCGAAAAATTAGATTAATCAAAATATCTTCTAGAACTTAAAATTTTAAACTTTTGAATGATATAATTTAACTAAACTTAATGCTTTATGAAACCAGCTTAATATCTTCATTTACTATTATATTCTCATAAACAACATTCTAATCAAAAAAAATGTTAATTCAAGTAAAATTTGATGTTTTTAAAATATTTTTTTTACGCTTTTGCGTTGCACTTGTACAGAAATTGAATTAAAACTCTTCATTTTTCTCCTTAAGAAGTGTTTTATAAGGTAAATTTGGGTAAATTAAGAATGTACAATCATAAAGCAACATGTAACGGACTGTAAATCAAAAAACAAAAGTTGTCTAGACGTTTTAAAAGTGGAAAATTTTTGGATAAAAGTTCAGAATTCAACATTCTGTACAAGTGCAACGCTTACAAAAAGTCAAATATTTTGTTAATTAAAGCATGTAGAAGGAACCAATAGCAACAAAACTATAGAGTTTTCTGTCTTACATAAGTATATTTGGTCCTTCGAACGTCTAGATAGGTTAAAAAAGAAAAAAAATTGATTTAAAGACGAAATTTTTGAAAAAGTCAATTCATGGAAATGTTCTAGAGTAAAAAGTTTTTTGACGGTAAAAATAAACTTGAATTTCTGAACGCATCTGGATTTTTTACAGCTAGGTATACACGCACGGATGTAATTTTCCAAAACTTTCGACTTTAAACTAATTTTTCTAAAAAATGAGCTATCTAGACAATTCAACAACTAGATATGAGTATGTAAATCAATGAATTCTAATTGAATATCTTTATTTCTTCCTTCTACATGCTTTAATTAACGAAATATTTGGATTTTTGTGACGGTCGCCCTATTTCAAAATGTGGAAATCTGATTTTTTAATCAAAAATTTTAAACTTTCTAGATATCTAGACAACTATTCATTGTCAGTATTATGTGCATTCTGTCTTCCTTTATGACCCTGTATTCTTAGATCGACTTAAAACACAGTCATTTAGCAGAAAAATGAAAAAATGTAAACCAATAATTGAAAAAGGGCGACCTGAAAGCGTTTATTTTCCAAGTCCGTGAAAAAATGGTTTTTAAAAAAGCAAAATCTACTGTAATTAACAACCAGTTGCGTGATTAGAATGTTGTTTTTATAAATAAAGCCGATTTGTGGTTGTTAAATTTGTTTTCGGTAAGATAATACTAAGTTAAAATAAGTTTTCAACCACCAAGTTCGAGAAGAATTACAACTCATTTTTGATAAATTCCACTCATTCATGGAATTGCCCTATACAAAAAATTCAAATTTCTAAACGGAAGCAGTTAAGTGCCTTGCTGGTCGAATAGGTAAGGCGCTTGGCTCAAATTTGGGATGGTAACTCGAAGGTCGTCGGTTCGAATCCAGCCATTTCCAAATTTGTTCTTTTTCGGAAGTTTAGATACTTCAACTGCTTAATGTAGAAGATCAAGCCATAATTGGGCATTTGGGCAACGTTGGATTAAGGAACGGGTCAGGAACTTGAAGTGTAGCGGGAGAAATAGGAACGAGAGCTACAAGATTACCCACGAATGGAATATTGATAGAACGGACCTGAAAAGTATCACGTAACGCCTACAGAAGATCGAAACGAGAGCCTTAGTTTATTTGAAACCTAGATATGAAGATTAGAAGTTTGATCCTACATAATACTAATTCATATGTATACAAATACAAAAGTGTAAAATGTGAATTATTTCCGGACAGTATGTCGTCAATAAATGCAATAAAGTGCAATTAAAATGAAAAAAAAAATCATCACGTGTTTTTTAAATGAAATAAAAAAAAATCATTAAAGTACAAAAACACTGTTTCAAGAATTTCTACCATCCGGGAAGTCAATAGCTCGATTAAACTGAGCTAATAAAACAAACCCGAGCTCTCTATGTCTCGTTAATGATGATCTCAGATCTAAATTTTCAAATATTTTTAACACTACCACAAACGTTTTACACGGAGAATAATGGAAATTTATCGTGTTGTTAGTTTAAGGGTTTCTGGAATTCCCGCTACTGTGTATTTTAGGGAATCGGGAACGGATATATTCCCGGGAATTCAAGACATACAAAAAGGTTAAAAAATGGTACCAAAACTGTATGTTCTGACTTTAAAATGCGCAATTATATCATTCTAGGCTAAAATAATCATGTTCTGTAACTAATGAAACCCGTTCCCGGAAACAAAGTAAATTATTAAGCTTCGAAAACAAATTTTCAAAAATTCTCTAAAAAAATGAGGAAATAAACGAATTGCTTACCGCATGTTTATGTACAGAATCCGTAAATGATTGTATACTAACTGTTAAATCAACATTTAGATTTGCAGAACGCTCAAATTCAAGACCAATAAACCACATCGAGCAGAAGTTGGGCTCACTTTGCGATTCTTCATTGTTGTCATTTGATTTTTCACTGCTTTTATTATCATTTGTTGTATTTATTTTGTCCTTACTAATTCCAGTAGATTTATCGAAACATTTTGGATTAACGTGTGCAAGATTAATGTGTTGATTTCTTTCCAAATTACCAATGAGAATGCGAATTTTGGACTCTATTAAACCACACCATTCTAGATGATCGTCAGCTGTCGACGAACTTACCAATAAAACGATAAAATGTCGATATTTTGTGAAAAAGTTAGGTGGCTGAAATAGTTTATCCCAATCAGCTTTTCCCAACATAATTTCATCAGTAATTTCCATCCCTTCTTTAAATGAATTTTGAATGACTTTGGATGTTGAAATTGAAACATTAAAGGTCGAATTTTGTTGAGGATATGCTGGAGTAATAATTGGCATTAAGTGATACCTGTCTTGAGCGTTCACACGAGGATCCCACACAGCAAACCCTAGATTTACATTATCTGGCTGCTTTAAAAGCACAGGTTGTGGAAATTTCCATCTCGAAAAAACCAAGAAAAACTTATGAACAAGTGTTGCAGCAACGGCATTTGGATACAATTGACACGTTCGTGCTACTAGCATAGCCCAGGAAACTCCACCAAAATATCCCAAAGAGTTTGAATAAACACCATGTTCTGAAATTCAAAAAAAAGTTTTTGCTGTTATAAAATTTCTTTTTTACACGCTTTTTCTTCATTTAATTTAACAATTTTACATGTAGTTACTCACTTTTAGCCCACAGTTTAATTGTACGTAGAGCTAAACGAAAATTTTCTATGTTTGGAACCAAACGTAAAATTTCATCAGTTACCCTACACCCATTGAGACTCCTTACACAGCGGGGATCTAAATTTTTTAACAGGATGTCATCACGCAAATCGAAATTGTCTGGTATTTCTTTAAGAGCCAATCGTGCAAATAAAAGGTCAATTTCAATTCCATCGAAATTCATTTTTATGACAGGTACGAATGCTTCTTCAACAGCCCTACATTCTGTTACTTCTGACTGCTGCTTTAAGAGTTCAAAAAATGATGAAAAATAGTCGCTTCGCTCAATGTTTCGAGGAGCAACACATAGAGCATCGATATCAGCACCTCTATGATGAACACCTAATCGGTAAGAACCAAATGTATATATTTTGCCACCAAGCTTCTCTGCCATTTGTTCGGGCATGTTTTTTTTAACAGAAACATCTTTCACCCATTGTTTTACAAGTGTGTTCAGTTTTGCTAAAATTTCCATACGATGGTTTAATTCTTGTTCACTTTCAAATACATTATATGGTTCTAAAATCTTTTCCAAATCCTCGGTTCTCATAATATCTTCTTGTTTAGGCAATGCAAGAGAAATCGCTGATGTCATTCCTAGCTGCTTTGGTTGTGCAGAATCAATTGTGTTTGATGTCCCTCCATTTTTCTGTATGTTATTCATATCTATGTATGATAATATTTAATCCAAATATGTTTTGCTTGATACTGTTTGTTTGTTGCTTTTATATAAATGTTTTTTTTTCTCGACCTATGCGAATTAGATTAACAAAAGTAGTAATCTAAACCTGCAATAAATAAATAGGTTTATTAATGTAGCAAAATGAAATTCTCTCTTATATTTTATAAACTTTTAGTTATTTTCTACATTTTCAGGTAATAAGAAGTATAAACATAAAGAATGTGCCTAAATGCAAGTAAAAATTAATAGTTTTTAATCCGAAATAGCATAAATAAAAAATTTGCATGTTTAAAGCGTCAAACTTTTTTTCAGAATCACCTATTTTACTTTAATTACGCTTACCTTATAGAAAAACCTTAAATTGTGTAGATTAATTTTAAGACAAAAGTCTTTTTAAAAACATTTTTAAATAACTACTACCAGGACTACTACTTATAAAACCTAGGGAATTATATTTTTTAATTTTTTTAAAAAAAGAATTTATTTTGAACGATTGTTACAGAACGAAACTTTTCAAATTTAAATGTTCCGTTGGCATTAAATTAATTTAATTCAATTTTTGAGTCACAATTTAACACCCCCGATCTAACTTGTTATTAATTAATTTAGAAACTTTCTTAAACTTTAAATCAAATGTAAATTAATATTTTTTTTCATATTACCATAAACTTTAATATTTATGTATAACAGTTGAGTGAATCAATAATTACAATTGCAAAAAAGGCAATTTCTATAAACTTGTACAAACAACTAATGCGCATGATTGAAAGTACGAAAGGTATAAAAATTCGCTAGTTGAAAATAATCACTAAAACTTTGTTTTTTTTTTTGATTTCTCATAAAAGCTAGAAATAATTAAATAGACAAGAACTTGAGATCAAATCTTCAGTAATATGAGAAAAACTTAAAGAATTGATATCTAATTTATATTATTTCAGACAAAAAAATTAATCGATATTTTTCTATGATTAAAACAGTTTACTTTCTTTTAAAAATGTGAATTAGTATGTTAATTAATAATACAATAATTGATTCGTCATCGGTTGATCACACGAATTTAATACCCATCTAAAATTACTACCCATAATATAATCTGCTTGATCTTAATAGTTGATGTGAGTAAAATCAACCATTTCATTTAAAAAAACTAGATTAGTAGTAAAGGCTAATTACAGTCAGTACATTTTTTGTTTACTAATGCACGAGAATTAAACTCTACTGATTATTTGATTAAAATAGTCAATGTTATTTTTAACATTTGCTATTATATATATTTATATATAGTTTGTATTGTATAAAGAAAATTTTATAACTTTTGTGCCGCTACAAAAAGAGTTTGTCGCCAGTTAGTGTTTATTTGACATAAATCTTTATCGACAAAATTTTTTTTTCTTATCTACAAAATCTTTAAAACTTATATTATATTATAGTATAGTTTTAACTATACCTCAATTTTATTTTTCATTTAATTTTAGATATAGTATAAAGTGTGAAAAAAATGGATGAACCACGAGCTGCAATTTTGCAAGATTTACGGATTCAATCGTTCGATACTATTCGTTTTGCATCATATCGGACAGCTTGTAAACTACGATATGTACAGAAATCAACTTACTGTAAATAAACTTAAAAAAAATATCAAATCATTAAGTAATATACGTGAGTTTACTTTATTTCATTATTATTACTAGTACATTTACTCGATATCTGGAATGTGATTGAGGCTTTTCGCGAAAATGGTTTGAATACACTGGAACCAACTAATGAAGTTAGTGTCGCTAGATTAGAAACATTGATATCATCTCTGTACCATAATCTTAACAAACGTCTTCCAACGAACCAACAAATTGCTGTTGATACTCAAGCTGGATTGCTGCTTAACTGGTTACTGTCTGCATACACAAATGACAACTCCGGAATTCGAGTGTTTTCCATTAAAGTGGCACTCGCTATCATGTGTGCTGGGAAATTAGTTGATAAATTACGATGTAAGATATAAACAATTAGACAGAGGTCGAAGTCGATGAAGCAAACTCACTTCACTTCACTAAAATTTCAATCGGTTTCAAGTCAGCTCGAGTGAACTCATTTTTTTCGTGTTCACTCGAGTCGACTTTTAACCGAGTTGATTTTTTCGTGTTCACTTTAGTCGACTTTTAACCGAGTTGATATTTTCGTGTTCACTTTAGTCGACTTGAAACCGACTTGATATTTTCGTGTTCACTTTAGTCGACTTGAAACCGACTTGATTTTTTCGTGTTCACTCGAGTCGACTTTTAACCGAGTTGATTTTTTCATGTTCACTTTAGTCGACTTGAAACCGACTTGAGTTCACTAAGGAAAAAAAAAGTAATATACCAAACTGATTTCTGCTAGTGCTTGTGAAGTATATGTGATTACATACAAAATTGCAGAATTTGTCCTTTTTTACTTTTCATAACCATATAGCAAACTAAACGAATTAATTTAAAATATTTTTCAAACTTCCAGTTTATTATAATTCAAGTTTTAAATTTTTTTCATTATTTATGTTTGTACCTTAAAGAAATTTAACTCTATAATTAAAAAAGAAGTGTTATATTTAATGGTGAAATTAAAAACAAGTGAGAAGAAAAATAGAATTTACGATTCATTCAGTGCACTTATCAATATATCAATGTTGTCAAACAAATAAATATGAGATTAAAATATATTCACCAAAATTGGAAATATGGTGTGAATTAAAATAATTTCATTCATAATTGTAGCAGTTCGTAATAAATAATTTCAAATCAGAAAAATAATCTATAGTGCAAAACATTTATAAAATATATGAAATCTAAAAAATATTTTAAATTAATTCGTTTAGTTTGCTTTATGGTTATGAAAAGTGAAAAAGGACAAATTCTGCAATTTTGTTGCAATTTTGTATGTAATCACATATACTTCACAAACAATAGCAGAAATCAGTTTGGTATATTACATTTTTTTTCCTTAGTGAACTCAAGTCGGTTTCAAGTCGACTAAAGTGAACATGAAAAAATCAACTCGGTTAAAAGTCGACTCGAGTGAACACGAAAAAATCAAGTCGGTTTCAAGTCGACTAAAGTGAACACGAAAATATCAACTCGGTTAAAAGTCGACTAAAGTGAACACGAAAATATCAACTCGGTTAAAAGTCGACTAAAGTGAACACGAAAAAATCAACTCGGTTAAAAGTCGACTCGAGTGAACACGAAAAAAATGAGTTCACTCGAGCTGACTTGAAACCGATTGAAATTTTAGTGAAGTGAAGTGAAGTGAAACGACTTCACTTCACCAACTTCGACCTCTGCAATTAGATAATTTATTTTTCAACTACAATTAGATTATTATAATTTAAAATAATTAGATATATTTTCACAAATTTCTGATGGCGCTGGACAATTGATTCACTGGAAAGCAATTGATTTTCTTCGCGAAGTTTTGGCTCTTCCAGCAGCAGTCTATGAATCACCAACTTTTAAATATGAGGATGGTATCGAAAATGAATTGTTTTCAATAGAGAATAAAATTACAGTAAATCATTTTATTGAGGCAATAGTTGCAGAACCAGGGCATTCATGTTTTGTTTGGCTCTCTTTATTGCATCGCCTTGCCACCGTTGAAAATATAGTTCATCCAATAATATGCTCATCATGTAATCGTGAAAATTTTATCGGATTTCGTTATCGTTGTCAGCATTCACGCTGTCACAGTTATCAATTATGTCAAGAATGCTTTTGGACTGGTAAAATATCACAAAATCACCAAAATGATCACGAAGTTAAAGAATACTCTTGTTATAAGAGTCCTAGTAAGCAAATTGGCCATTCATTGAGAAAAAGCTTTCGTTGTGTACCAGAAAAACAAGCCAGCAGTGCGTTTTTACCTAAATTTCCTGAGTCTGAGAAAACATTAAATTTGAGTCATATTGTACCCCCGTCACCTTTACCATCACATCATAATAACGGATGTGCAGATGGAGTATTTGATAGATGTAGTACATTAGATTCTAGAACAACAGGAAGATCCTTAGATAGTTCAATGATGAATACAATCGGTGAACAAAGTACGCAGAGGACTTTTAATTCAAATGATGATCCACATACTATGATGGCTCGTTATGCAGCTAGATTAGCAAAGGACGGACCAAACGAGTTATCACCTGGGATAAATGAATCAACAACACAAAAATCACAGCGTGAATTGATTGCACAACTAGAATTAAAAAATAAAGAAATTATGCGAGAAATACAGAAATTAAGGCAACAAGAACAAGATACACCGAACCAAGATAATCCACAGCTTGTGACCGAACTGCGAGCTTTACGTCAAAGAAAAGGAGAATTGGAAGGGCATTTAGGCGCATTGCAAGATTCTAGAAGGCAATTAATGCAGCAATTAGAAGGACTTATGAAGCTGTTAAAAAATCATCAAACACAATCACCAAAATCAACTCCAAATTCTAGTCCTCGTTCTGGAAAATCACCACCTATTCCTCAAGGTATTAATTTTTGCACAATTAACCCAAATAGACAAAGAGCACGCTATGAGCGCGGTCAAATTTTATACGAAAAGTGATGCCACTACTTTACGCTAATGAGCACGCTTTTTGAGCATGCTCAAATTGTTGTGTGACATGCAACATTTTTTATGTCATATGATGTGACATTTGAGTCTACTCAGTGAGTGTACTCTGAGCATGCTCACTGAGTGTACTCACATTATTTAATAATTTTCAAAAAATCAATTTTTAAATTATTATTTAATAATTTTTTTGATATATTTGCTGTTGTAAGGTTTCTTAGTGTTCTAGAATAAATTTTGTTCATTAATAACTTGAAAAAGGAACTTAAGAAAATTTTGGATTGTACCTGGATTCGAACTCATGACCGATCTGTTGCTAAGACCATTACCGTAACCATTACACCACTGCTGCAATTTATCTATATAATTCTGTATAGCAATACAGTTGCAAACTAGATCTTAACAAGAACAGACGTGTTTACAAATCGCTCCGCAAATTATTCAAAAAATCTAAAAAGAAACAAAACAGAGATTACCTGAGAAGCTTTTTGTTTGCAAAAAGTTTCAAAATCTCAGTTTGATTTTCAAAACATCAAAATGGTAGAATCACCAACAACGAAGAAAATCTTTCTATAAATCAGCATTGACTTAATATTTCTCAACAACAACATTCATCTTCAGTGACAATTCTCAATATTGAGGTGAAAATGTTTCACAAGTAGTCGACATTGAGATGACAAATCTCAAACCAAAAAAACAAACAACAATGAAGAAGTTTTTCAATGAAGCGAGTAAAGCAGAAAAACGCCCTCGAGAAGTGATAGTTCCCAGCGCTCCTTTTAAAATAGTAGCAAACCAAAAGATGGGAACAAACAACTGTTCAAACTCCCACCAATGAAGAAAACTATGTCTTCTGAAAAACCGTATTAATTTGGTTCACCAGAGCAGGAAACAAAAAGATCGACAACTTTATCGTCCTGGGGAGAAAACAGCAAAACATCTGAGCAACAAAAGACAATCTCCGTAAACACGGAAAACAACAGCAACAAATCTCAACAAAAATCAAAACCACCTCCAATTGTCATCAGCATAGGTGGAGCTGGTGAAATCAAGAGATTGACGAATAAAATAAACAATCAACCTGGAAGTTTCTTAATCGAGACCAAAAAGGGCAAACAAGGAACAAAAATGGTAACAACGGAGAGTTGGGATGACTACGAGAAATTCATCCAACTACTCAAAGACAAAAAGCATCACTTCCACACATACTGCAACCAAGAACCACTGAAGAAGTACGTACTCTACGGACTCCCAGATATGGAAATCAGAGAGTTGGAGAAGGAACTTTAAACCGTAAAAATCACACCAGTAAAAACTGTCAAAATGACAATGAAACACAAAAGACACGAACAAGACGACGACCAGAACTACCTCGTGTACTTCAAAAAAGATGTAGAACAAGGTGGAACTACAAAAATAGACAAGCTGGACCATCTCAATGTTCGAAATGTCTGCAGTTTGGTCATGGACAAAACGGTTGTAACAAACCGTCCGTTTGCTTCAGATGCTCTGAGCAACATGACTCGAAAACGTGCCAGTACATATCGAATGAAACCAACAAGGTTCCACTCGGAAAACTCAAATGTTTCTTCTGCGGTGAAAAACATCCAGCAATTTTCACAGGTTGTAAAACCAGACAAGAAATAATTGAAAAGTGGAAATCAAAATCACAGAATGGAAACAACCGAAATCAAAACAAAACAGCAGGCCATTATTCATATGGACAACATGGACAACGGAGAAACAATCCTTCAATTCCGAAACTTCCTGAGCGATTAACCAGAAACGTCCAACATGCACCTCAATGGAGAAAGAATAATGTGGAACCATCAACATCTGGTACACAAAAGCCTGTTCTTCAAAAACAAGCTCCAGTCAACCACAAACCAAGGAACACAAATCCTCCTCGAAATCACAAACCCTCAAATCAGGGAAATAAAAATAACTTGAACAACCAACAAAACAATAAAGAAAGAGGAAAACATTGGAAAAAGAATCAAAGAAAAAAGCAAAACGAGCTCATTAATAACAATCAACATCAAAAACCAAAGCAAGATGTTGTGCTTCTGGACTCAGAAGACATCAGTCCAACAAGTCAGACCACGAATGAAGTTTTCCCAGAACCTTCATTCAGTGTTGAGGTAGTGAATCGAAACATAACAACTAATCAACAAGCTCAAAGCACCAGCACAAGAGATAAAAACATCTCAGAAATAAAGGAATCAAAGTGCAAGTACCTCATCAGTGAGCTTCTCAAATTAATCGCCAAAAATCCAGAGTTCATCGACGAAATACTCCAAGCAATCGGCTCAAACGCCAAAAACACCGCATACAATAATGGATTGTAGACAACAAAGAATCAACGTCCTCTACTGGAATGCTAACGGCCTCACTGACAAAATGTTAGCATTTTTCGACTACCTAAGCAAGCAAAACGTCGATGTTGCTTGCATCTCAGAAACATTCCTAAAACCAAACTCAAAAATTGACTCGCATCCAGACTACGTAATTCATCGATTGGATCGCGTGGATAGACCAAAGGGTGGTGTTGCAATCATCGTCAAAAGAAATCTAAAACATCAGCTTCAACCAAGCTACAACACAAAACTAATGGAATGCATTGGAATCGAAGTCTTCATCAATGACACGGATAGTTGTCACATCCTCTCAGTCTTTCTCCCAGGAGAAAACAAAGGAGGGGAAATAGATCAACATCTGAGAGATGACATCAACAAAATAACAAATCTGAGATGAAATTACTACATCTGTGGAAACTTCAATGCAAAACATTGAGAATGGAACTGCAACGTTGCAAATAAATCAGGAAATATTCTTCAGGAAATGTCAGGAGAGTTCATGATCTACTTTCCTGACTCGCCAACGTACTACCCAGCAGATCGAAACAAATCAGTGTCAACAATTGACCTGATGCTCTCGAATTCTAACCTCGAAACAACAGAACTTCAATGCACAGAGGCAATGAGTGATCACTGCGCTGTGTATTTCCAAATCAAAACATCAAAAATCGACAGAACTGAAAATACAGTCTACAGATATGACTACAAAAACGCAAACTGGAAAAAGTTCAAAGCACAAATTTCACGCCACATCAAAGACAACACTGGAGAAAATTCTTGCAATACAGCAGATGAGCTCGAGAATCACATTAAGATTCTCTCTGAACTCATCATTGAAGCGAGGAACTCAAGTGTAAAAATGAAAAAGATCAACTTCGAATCAGCTAAACTCACACCGGAGGTTAAAGATCTAATCAATACAAAAAGGAGTCTCCGTCGAAGATGGCAGAGAAGCAGAGATAATCAACTCAAATCTGAATTGAATTATCTGCAGAGAGTCATCAATGAGAAAATTAAAGAACTCAAAAACAAAAACTGGAATAAGCGTCTCTCAGAGATTCAACCGTCAAACCAAACAGTTTGGCGAATAGCAAAATTTTGAAAAAAAAGGTTCAAAAACAATGCCTCCATTGAAAAATTTGTGTAAAACGTTCATTACCAACAAAGAAAAAGCCTGAGTGCGCTGGCGTGAAGCTCACGAAAATCCTCTGGAACAAAACGATCCACAACATACACAGGAAGTAAACAACACAGTCAAAGAAGCATTGGAACAAGACAATGATGAGAATCCAGAATTAACAGATATAAACGAAATCGTGAGCATCATAAGAAATCTGAAAAATCCCAAAGCTCCGGGACTAGATGAAGTCAACAACATACTCATCAAAAACCTTCCTGAAAAAGGTTTCGAATACTTGAAATTCATCATCAATTCGTGTCTGAAACTCAATCACTTCCCCAAATTTTGGAAACACGCAAAAGTGATTCCTATACCAAAACCTGGAAAACCAGCAAAAGAGTTAAGCAGCTACAGGCCAATAAGTCTACTCAGCTCAATAAGCAAAATACTGGAGAGAGTATTGCTGAACAGAATCAACGATCATCTTGAGGATAACAACATCATCCCAAGCCAGCAGTGCGGCTTCCGGACTGGAAGATCAACATCTCACCAGCTCATCAAAGTGATCAAAACAGCAAAAGAAAACTTAAACAACAAAAAGTCAACAGGCATGATCTTCCTGGATGTAGAAAAAGCATTTGACAGAGTCTGGCATAACGGACTCTTGTACAAAATGCTCAAACTGAGATTTCCACTGCCACTTATAAAAACTGTAAGATCTTTCCTCAGAGAAAGACCAACTCTCTACAACATCTTCACGTATGATGTTGTAAGAGAGACAACCAACAACATCGGTCTTTTCGCAGATGATACAGCACTGTATCATTCTGCAGAGAACTCGACTGATATTGTAACACATCTACAGCACACAGGAAGAAAAGTTCAACAATACATGAACAAATGGAAGATCAACCTCAACAAAAAGAAGACAGAAGCCTTATTCATCACAAACAGGCACTCCAGGCAACTTCCAGGATATAACATCAAATTTCTCAACGAAAACATCAAATGGGAAACAGAAGCCAAATATCTGGGAATGGTGATCGACAGTGACATTAAAGCCGCATGTGGAGTATGTGACCAATAGGGCTCACACCGCGTTAAGACAGCTTTATCCGCTCATCAACTTTGTACATACCACTTTGGGGCAAAATTGAAAAAAAGGGACTTTCAGTTCGAAAAAGGCAATGTTTCGAATTACGTTCTCCAGTGAATTTTTTCTTGTAGAGGACATAAAAATATACTTCTATGCCAAATTTCAGGTCATTTGGTGCTATTTTTGCGAATCTGTGGCTGTTTGAAGTTGAAAAAGGGTGAAAAATCTGGTTTTTTCATGTCACGTTAGAACTGGTAAATCTCCGCAATGGTTAGAGGTATTAAAAAAAAGTTTTCAGTTCCTAAAAGTGTTATATAAAAGCTTTATTTTAATGTATTTCAAAGTTTACAAATTTGATGTTTTGGTACCGGTGTAGTTGAAAGTGTATAAAAATCCTAGGAAAAATATCTTTGTGCAGGCACAACTTTTTTCTGTCAACCGCTATACCAGTCAAAAACCACACCATTAAATAGCCACTGACTTCTTGTTTTCATTACTGTATAAACATTAAAATAATGTTTGCACCGTTGTGAGAAAAGTTGATTTGAGTAAATCGACAAATATTTTGCCAAAAACGAAAATTTCTTATAAATAAAACAAAACAATAACTACAAATAAGTTTTTTGGTATTTTTCAATGACAAACAATATTTAAAGACAACCTGTGAAGAAATTTTTTCAAAAAGTTCAAAATTTGTCGTTATATGAGGTACTTTTGATATCTGACGACTTGTATGTTTTTTCCATCACTTAAACCACTAGTACTCTTAGAAAATTAAATATTTTAAAATATCGTTTTCAGTTTGTTGTAGCTTAAATCAGTACCTTTCTAATAATGTATAATACTTGATAGTTGACTTTGATCTTTGACATGAATATGAGGCTTGTTTGTGAGCGACCCTAAACTAGAAAAAATCTCAAAAACGTTTTTTCTAGAAATACCACTTGGAAACAAAATTAAGTATTGAGTTTTGGTTTTTTATGACGATTTATGATAATTATGACTAAAAACACTCAAAAAATTGTATTTTATAAACTTTTGGCTGTCTCAGGTAGCTTGTTTAAGTACGATCCCAGTAGTCTTTATTGGGTCAAAAATTCCCAAGTATTACACTATTTCTTGGATGCTTATCGGTTGATATTTCATATTTATACAGATTTTAAGCAAAATAAGTCAGTTTAAAATATTTTTGTTTGATAAATTTTGGTTTTTGACTATTTTGTTGAAGTTTAGCTTGCGTCGGTCACATTCAATTTACTCCAGAAGCAGCTTTAATGAACTTTCATACAAGGATTATACATCATTTTAAAGGTATTGGTAAACTAGCAATAATCGAAAACAGAATGCAAAAATATGTATCCTGAAAAAGGTTAGAGCTCTTTATGTCCATCAAAAAGCCTACAAAAGCGCAACCAGCATAGGTAAATTTACAAATCGATCGAAATTTCGATTATTGCTAGTTTAGATCAATACCTTTAAAATGATGTATAATACTTGTATGAAAGTTCATTAAAGCTGCTTCTGGAGTAAATTGAATGTGACCGACGCAAGCTAAACTTCAACAAAATAGCCAAAAACCAAAATTTATCGAACAAAAATATTTTAAACTGACTTATTTTGCTTAAAATCTGTATAAATATGAAATATCAACCGATAAGCATCCAAGAAATAGTGTAATACTTGGGAATTTTTGACCCAATAAAGACTACTAGGATCGTACTTAAACAAGCTACCTGAGATAGCCAAAAGTTTATAAAATACAATTTTTTGAGTGTTTTTAGTCATAATTATCATAAATCGTCATAAAAAACCAAAACTCAATACTTAATTTTGTTTCCAAGTGGTATTTCTAGAAATAACGTTTTTGAGATTTTTTCTAGTTTAGGGTCGCTCACAAACAAGCCTCATATTCATGTCAAAGATCAAAGTCAACTATCAAGTATTATACATTATTAGAAAGGTACTGATTTAAGCTACAACAAACTGAAAACGAAATTTTGAAATATTTAATTTTCTAAGAGTACTAGTGGTTTGAGTGATGCAAAAAATATGCAAGTCGTCAGATATTAAAAGTACCTCATATAACGACAAATTTTGAACTTTTTGAAAAAATTTCTTCACAGGTTGTCTTTAAATATTGTTTGTCATTGAAAAATACCAAAAAACTTATTTGTAGTTATTGTTTTGTTTTATTTATAAGAAATTTTCGTTTTTGGCAAAATATTTGTCGATTTACTCTGTGGCTATTTAATGGTGTGGTTTTTGACTGGTATAGCTGTTGACAGAAAAAAGTTGTGCCTGCACAAAGATATTTTTCCTAGGATTTTTATACACTTTCAACTACACCGGTACCAAAACATCAAATTTGTAAACTTTGATATACATTTAAAAAAAGTTCTTATATAACACTTTTAGGAACTGAAAACTTTTTTTTAATACCTCTAACCATTGCGGAGATTTACCAGTTCTAACGTGACATGAAAAAACCAGATTTTTCACCCTTTTTCAACTTCAAACAGCCACAGATTCGCAAAAATAGCACCAAATGACCTGAAATTTGGCATAGAAGTATATTTTTATGTCCTCTACAAGAAAAAATTCACTTGAGAACGTAATTCGAAACGTTGCCTTTTTCGAAGTGAAAGTCCTTTTTTTTCAATTTTGCCCCATAGTGCATACTTAAATTTAAATGTAAATAAATAAAAAGTTTAACTAAAAAAAAAAATAAAATCTTTATGGCAATAACTCATATATAAACTATAAAAAAGTTAAATACTTTGAAATTGATCTCAAAATGTTTTTAGCGCATTTTTGTATACTTGTATACAAAAAGAGAGCTTAATAATTCGAAATGTTCGTTCGTTCGTCTGTTCGTTCGTTCGTCTGAAGAAAAACTTTTTAACCAGACATCGTAGAGAGCTCAGGTTTGTTTTATTAGCTCCGTTACTATTGTTTATTGTCCGATCGAACAGTAAAAAGTCTTGAAACAGTGTATTTATACTATAATTAATGTTTTTTTTTTCATAAACAAAGCCACGTGATGAGTACGTTTAAAAAATTCAACATTACCTCTATCATTTTAAATTTTTTCTAGCCGTTGTAAAATTTGAATTTCAAAAAACCGTTAAATGATAAACTTTTTCTGTATGGAAATTCATTGTAACAAATTATTAATTATACTAGTGCAACTTATAGCGGGAAAATTTCAAATTATTTATTGACCGTTAGAAAATTTGAATTAAAAATATTCACAAAAATTGAAAATTTTGTGTGAATATGAAAACCGTTAAATAATAAAGACTATCTAAGCATTCATTATAATTATTTGTTAAATACACTAAAATGAATGATCTTCTAATCTTCTAATGATCTGAAAACGAACGCAAAATAATTAGATAATCAAATACTGATCGCTGCGTCAAAAATGCGCTTAAGTCCCTCGATCAATAACAGGAGGACTTCTTTAATTTTTTTAACAATGGTTATAGTTACTCAGAGTACTCACAAAAGTAAGCACGCTCTTTGTCTATTCGGGTAATATAAACATCTGTTAATAAAATTTTTTGAATAAAGGTTCTCAAGCACAACAATCTTCTAAAATTGGAGCGATAAATTCTAACTCTCAGCACCAAACCCTTAATCAGCATTTAAAGCAACAACAGCAAAACGAAGGTAATAGTATTAACATTTAGGTAGTAAGATGTGCATAACGCAGACAAAAGTTAATGTTATCACTTTTTTTGACGTCAAGTTGGGTACTAATGCCACCGTACTTCACGTTTTAAAACGGCATCATTTCCAAATATAATCTTTATTAGACATATTATATATCAAAATTGATCTCCTTAATACGTCCGGAATCGGATATAACGATATAACGACAAAATCGGATACAACCAGAAGAGATATGGACTGTCAAAGTTTTGAACAGTACTACTTGTGGATCACTATTTTTTTTTGCCCAAAAACCTATCATGTTGTGTATCAAAACACGTCTCCTTTTCCTCAGTAGCTTAAATCTGATGGAATTATTTAAGTCCAATTCATTTTGGACCTATGGCAGTTCCAGTTCCATCTCGTAGTAGAACATCACCAAATGTTCAAAATTGACAGTACAATGTTGTATATCCACAATCATTCAGATTTAACAAAAATGATTAAAAATTCCTTATGCACAATATTTTTCTGACACATTACAAAATTGAAAATTTTTATATTCACACCGTTTTCACGTGTGAATCTATTGGTTTTGTTCAGATTGAAAAATCAGTTTTTCGCATTTTGTGAGAAAACAAAGCAAAATTGGTTATAAAAGGGCAAGAAGAAAAGTTTGTGCCTGAAATTTTACATCATTTTCAAAAAAACAGATTTCAAATTGGTTGTGGCATTGCTGAGAAAATCGCAAAATACGCTTTCTGTAAGCAAACAAGCAAGCAAGCAAGTTAATCAGCAAGAAATCTCAATAACGAGACATCGTAGAGACTTCTAGTTTTTACATTTGATCCGTGCTGCTCTAAAGAAGAGCTGTATTGTTTTTGGGCAAGGTAGGAACAGCCGTTGCTTCAGAAATGGCAAAAAACTTTCCTTTCTTACGAATTTTTTAAAACAAAAGTTGACTGTGATTTTTATAAAATTCAACTTTGGATGAAAATTTTTTTTAAAAAACTTATAAAGAATATTTGGCATATTCGTCAAGCTTTATACCTTCAAAATTATGGTGAGCATAGCTCAGCTGACTCGATAGCTTTATATCTTCAAACTTATGCTGAGCGTAGCTCAGCTTACGCGATAGCTTTATAACTTCAACTTATGCTGAGCGAAGCTCCACTGCCTCTCTAGCTTCATATCTTCAAACTTATGCTGAGCGTAGCTCAGCTGACACTCTAGCTTTATATCTTCAAACTTATGCTGACCGTAGCTCAGCTTACGCGATAGCTTTATAACTTCAAACTTATGCTGAGCGAAGCTCAGCTGCCTCTCTAGCTTCATATCTTCAAACTTATGCTGAGCGTAGCTCAGCTTACGCGATAGCTTTATAACTTCAAACTTATGCTGAGCGTAGCTCAGCTGACACTCTAGCTTTATATCTTCAAACTTATGCTGAGCGTAGCTCAGCTTACGCGATAGCTTTATAACTTCAAACTTATGCTGAGCGAAGCTCAGCTGCCTCTCTAGCTTCATATCTTCAAACTTATGCTGAGCGTAGCTCAGCTTACGCGATAGCTTTATAACTTCAAACATATGCTGAGCGAAGCTTAGTTGACTTATCAAGCTTCATACCTCCATACTACTGATGGGCAAATCTTGGTCTATCCATAAGACTTATGATAGTACGGTGTGAATATAATCCGCATTGGGTTTCTACCCGATACACTAGTTGTTAATTTCTTTTGATTTGATGCTTTTAACATTTTCTACATAATGTTTTCATTTATTGCTCAAAAATTCAATCCGTAATATAAAGGATAAACATGCTCTTTTAGCAAAAGTTTGTAAAAGTTTATCAAAAAATATTTCTTGAACTATCAATTTTGAACGCAAATATCTCGAAAACGACATTAAACTGCATGCCAATAAAAATAACGGTTTCAAAAAGTTCAAATAAAATAACATTTGTGAGCTTCTTATATTTTGTTTTGCTGAAAAACATATTATTTGTTCATTTCTGCTTAAAAACAATATGAATATGCGTCGAAAAAACTAAGTTATTAAAAACACATAATAAAAGTTAAGAAACTAGGGAAAATTTGCAAAAAATTATCAAAATTTTCATTGTTTTGGTATTTGTTGGACTCTGGAACAAATAATGTGATTTTGTATGGATTCCTTGCCTCGATTTGAGCAGAAATTTTTTGGAACAAAACAACTAATAAAATTGAGGAACCCCAGTATTTCAAGGTTCATTTTATTTTCCAAAGTATTCATATAAACTCCTAAAAACTTTTTTTTAAAAAAGCACGCTTTTATTTCCGATTACAGTGCACTAAAAAGGAGAAAATAATTTTTTTCTAAGCACTCAAATATGAAACAAAATTTTATGACTAAAAATAAAAGCGTGGGGCGTTCAATTTAAACCTGCTCTAGATTTTCTATAATTTATTCACACTATATTGTAATTTTTCATTTTTATATTCACACCGTTTTCACGTGTGAATCTATTGGTTTTGTTCAGATTGAAAAATCAGTTTTTCGCATTTTGTGAGAAAACAAAGCAAAATTGGTTATAAAAGGGCAAGAAGAAAAGTTTGTGCCTGAAATTTTACATCATTTTCAAAAAACAGATTTCAAATTGGTTGTGGCATTGCTGAGAAAATCGCAAAATACGCTTTCTGTAAGCAAACAAGCAAGCAAGCAAGCAAGTTAATCAGCAAGAAATCTCAATAACGAGACATCGTAGAGACTTCTAGTTTTTTACATTTGATCCGTGCTGCTCTATAGAAGAGCTGTATTGTTTTTGGGCAAGGTAGGAACAGCCGTTGCTTCAGAAATGGCAAAAAACTTTCCTTTCTTACGAATTTTTTAAAACAAAAGTTGACTGTGATTTTTATAAAATTCAACTTTGGATGAAAATTTTTTTTAAAAAACTTTTAAAGAATATTTGGCATATTCGTCAAGCTTTATACCTTCAAACTTATGTTGAGCGTAGCTCAGCTGACTCGATAGCTTTATATCTTCAAACTTATGCTGAGCGTAGCTCAGCTTACGCGATAGCTTTATAACTTCAACTTATGCTGAGCGAAGCTCCACTGCCTCTCTAGCTTCATATCTTCAAACTTATGCTGAGCGTAGCTCAGCTGACACTCTAGCTTTATATCTTCAAACTTATGCTGAGCGTAGCTCAGCTTACGCGATAGCTTTATAACTTCAAACTTATGCTGAGCGAAACTCAGCTGCCTCTCTAGCTTCATATCTTCAAACTTATGCTGAGCGTAGCTCAGCTGACACTAGCTTTGTATCTTCAAACTTATGCTGACCGTAGCTCAGCTTACGCGATAGCTTTATAACTTCAAACTTATGCTGAGCGAAGCTCAGCTGCCTCTCTAGCTTCATATCTTCAAACTTATGCTGAGCGTAGCTCAGCTTACGCGATAGCTTTATAACTTCAAACTTATGCTGAGCGAAGCTCAGCTGCCTCTCTAGCTTCATATCTTCAAACTTATGCTGAGCGTAGCTCAGCTTACGCGATAGCTTTATAGCTTTAAACTTATGCTGAGCGAAGCTTAGTTGACTTATCAAGCTTCATACCTCCATACTTATGATGAGCAAATCTTGGTCTATCCATAAGACTTATGATAGTACGGTGTGAATATAATCCGCATTGGGTTTCTACCCGATACACTAGTTTGATGCAACTTCTGTAAACGAAAGACCTTTTAACATTTTGAGATCGTTCACAAATTCAAGATTTAGTGACATATGCAAGAACGTCCCACGCTTTTATGTTTAGTCATAAAATTTTGTATCATATTTGAGTGCTTAGAAAAAAATTATTTTCTCCTTTTTAGTGCACTGTAAATAAAAGCGTGCTTTTTTAAAAAAAAGTTTTTTTTTAAAGTATTTTATTTTCTACTTTTTAGTCGTGTTAAATGTATGAATCGATATTACTTCCAAAATTTGGAGTTTTTGTTTTATTTCAACACTGAATTTATCAGACTTAATGAGTAGGTTACAGTTTTTAGATTACAGGAAGTTTTAGAATCCACTTCCTTTCACTTCAATCCGTTCAACTGTTCATAGATTACCATTTTTAATGGATAATTAGTAAAGAATGTCAAAATTCTTCATTTGTTTTAAATTATTTAAGTCATACCTGAAAACACATAAAACTCTTTTAAAAATGTCCTAACTTCAATAATTAAAGATTTTGTGTTTATCCGGACCATTCCTACTACATAACGTGTGGATTCTTTACATAAAGATGCAAATCCCATCTTTATGTAATTTGCATATAACCGATTTTCAAATTTAAATTCAATGAATGTCATTTATATGTTATGCAAAAATACGTCATGCCGTTAAAAGAGAAGTCAATTTAATTAAGTTGGTGAAGTGTTATAAATAATGTAATACATTTAAAACAGCATAAATTTATGCTCAAACTATGTGTGCTAAATGCACATCTCATATTAATAGTTATTTTGCATTAATCCAAAACGGACTTTTGCTTAACGGTTTTTTTGAAAATTCAAATTTTCACTTACGAATATTCATTAAAAAATCACTTGTCAATTTTTTCATCCTCCCAGAAAATCTTTAGCTGCTCAAAATTATAGTATAATTAATAATTAGTAATATTAATTAAACTATAATGAATCTTATAAATGACTGTTGAGTATTTCAAGTGTAATATTTTAAACAAATCAAAATTTTATATCATTGACATTGGATTTTTTTCCCATATAAAAATTTTTTACTAAAATTGTATTATAATTAAGCATTTTTGTGTTTCCAAAGTGTTAAAATGTTGTATTGTCATGGAGAATACGTGTGCATTTAAAATTTGAGCTCTATTGGAGCAGTGAAAGTGGTCGTAAAATCGATTACAAGATTTGACTCAGACAAACAGTGTGAGTTAAATAAAAGTGTGTAATAAAATAATAATAATAAAATAAAATAAAATAAAATAATGTAATAATAATAATGAAATGACTAAAGTTTATTTGGATTCATGGCATACTTTCCCACTATTCATACAAATTTTTTTTTAAAAATATGTATTTGGGTCAAGTCAAATTTGGAACAAAGTAACCTAATTCATGATGTTTGAGACTCCTTGGGTTTTACACATTTTTAATCTATTTAGTTATTCAATGTTTATTTACTGAAAACATATCACTATGGGCCAGAAATCGAAAACTTTTCCGAAAATTATTTTTTTGGTCTAAATGATAGCTCTATTATTCCCATTTATGAAAATACTTACAAAAGTAGCCAATTTAGCCCAAGTTCTGAGATATGGCTTTTCAAAGTTTCTGTGAAGAGCATTTTCTCGCCCCACTAAAACTATCACTACAATTCACTGAATTGATGAATCTCTTTTAATTTTTTTTATTTGGTAGCTTTAAACAAGAGCTTCATTTTAAGATAATAAACATTTTCCAAAAAGCACGCGTTCAGTATGATTACGTTCGTGTAGGACTTCACTTTTAAATCAAATGATCCTGAATCTTTTTTTATTATTACTACGTTTTTCTTAACTTGCTTTCTTATCTGTTTATCTGTTTATCTGTTTATCTGTTTATCTGTTTGTCGAGGGCAAATCTTGTAATCGATTTTTCGACCACTTCTACTGCTCCAATCGAGCTAAAATTTTTAATGCACACGTATTCCCGGTGACAATACAATATTTTAACACTTTGGAAACACAAAAATGCTTAATTATAGTACAATTTATGTAAAAGTTTTTTATATGGGAAAAAATCCAATGTCAATGATATAAAATTTTGATTTGTATTAAATATTATACATGTGATGCTCTAAAGTCATTTATATGATTCATTATAGTTTAATTAATATTACTAATTATTAATTATACCATAAATTTGAGCAGCTAAAGATATTCTGGTAAGACAAAAAAATTGACATGTAATTTTTTCATGAATATTCGTAAGTGAAAATTTGAATTTTCAAAAAAACCGTTAAGCACAAGTCCGTTACGAATTAATGCAAAATAACTATTAATATGCGATGTGCATTTAACACACATAGTTTGAGCATAAATTTATGCTGTTTTAAATGTATTGCATTATTTATAACACTTCACCAACTTAATTAAATTGACTTTTCTTTTTATTAACGGCTTGACGTATTTTTGCATAACATATAAATGATATTCATTGAATTTAAATTTGAAAATCCGTTATAAATACGTTACATATGTGATTTGCATCTTTATAGTAAGAATCCACACGTTATGAAGTAGAAATGGTACAGATAAACACAAAATCTTTACGAGTGATTTTTAATGTACTTTACTAATGAATGCTTTAAAAAAATTAAATTTTATAAAACGAATGAAAAATTTTGAAAGTCGTTACTAATTTCCCATTGAAAACTGGTAATTTATAAACAGTTGAACGTAACGGAGTGAAACGGAGTGGAGTTCAACACACCTGTAACCTATAAACCTACTGTAATCTATAAACAGTTGAACGTAACGAAGTGAAACGAAGTGGAGTTCAACACACCTGTAACCTATAAACCTACTGTAATCTATAAACAGTTGAACGTAACGAAGTGCAACGAAGTGGAGTTCAACACACCTGTAACCTATGAACCTACTGTAATCTATAAACAGTTGAACGTAACGAAGTGCAACGAAGTGAAGTTCAACACACCTGTAACCTATAAACCTACTGTAATTTATAAACAGTTGAACGTAACGAAGTGCAACGAAGTGGAGTTCAACACACCTGTAACCTATGAACCTACTGTAATCTATAAACAGTTGAACGTAACGAAGTGCAACGAAGTGAAGTTCAACACACCTGTAACCTATGAACCTACTGTAATCTATAAACAGTTGAACGTAACGAAGTGCAACAAAGTGAAGTTCAACACACCTGTAACCTATAAACCTACTGTAATCTATAAACAGTTGAACGTAACGAAGTGTAACGAAGTGAAGTTCAACACACCTCTAACCTATAAACCTACTGTAATCTATAAACAGTTGAACGTAACGAAGTGAAGTTCAACACACCTGTAACCTATAAACCTACTGTAATCTATAAACAGTTGAACGTAACGAAGTGCAACGAAGTGAAGTTCAACACACCTGTAACCTATGAACCTACTGTAATCTATAAACAGTTGAACGTAACGAAGTGCAACGAAGTGAAGTTCAACACACCTGTAACCTAAGAACCCCCTATAATCTTTATTTCTCTATTTCATTAGAATAAGACTAAAAAGTTGAAAATAAAATACTTTATAAAAAAAACTTTTTAAAAAAACTACGTTTTTCGCGTAGACTAAAAAGTAGAAAATAACTTTTATTCTTGGTTGTAAAGAATTTGGTTTTAAATTTTCAGATTATATTTAATAAATTTTTATATCCTAGTCAATATTGTTCACAAAGTTTCGAATAAGTGCATTTTGATCTTATCGTATAACTCAACAACTTAAAAACGTGGGCGCATTATAAGAGGAGAAATAAGTTTATGTGAAATCAATACTTTATGATAAACTTAAATTAATGCGCCCACGTTTTTAAGTTGTTGAGTTATACGATAAGATCAAAATGCACTTATTCGAAACTTTGTGAACAATATTGACTAGGATATAAAAATTTATTAAATATAATCTGAAAATTTAAAACCAAATTCTTTACAACCCACAATGATTCAGATTTGAAAAAAATGTTCAAATAACTCTTGTGCATAATATTTTTCAGACACATTGTAGGAATGAAATTTTTTGTTGATATTCTCTAGTTTAGGACTTTTAATGCCTTTAATCTTACTTGATTATTGATTCCTCAAAATATTAAGTCATGAAATTGAGGATAAATAAGTTTTTTTTTACAAATTTTACAAATGTTTATCAAAAAATTTGGCGCACGATAGTAATTTGTATGAAAAATTTACTGATTTTCAATCGCAAATATCTCACTTCGGGCATATTTGGGCATGTACACATTAATATGCAAGGTTAATTGGACTCTATTCTTCGGATTTTAATAGGTTTGGTAGAAGCGGAGAGACGCGAATTCAACTTATGAGTGTTTAAAGTCTTGGTGAATTTCAAAAATATTAATCATGAATATTCGCCCAATTAATAAATTTTCTTTTGGTTTCTTCACACAAACACAAAGTACTAAGCTTAATTAAGCTAGTTATCAGCATTAAAACAAGAAATTAGAAGTAGAAAGGAGAAAAAAATTAAGAAAAATATTTGTTGTCATTTTGTAAACAAATTTATTGTCATCTTAGAATCGAATTTTTGTAAGTTAGACAACATATTGGAATTAGATATTTTTACAGAATATAAAACAAATCATGTTCTTTAATCTAGCATTTAAAACATATAGTTTAATTAACTTGATATTTTTGAATTTTTGAACATTTTTTTCAAATCTGAATCATTGTGCAACCAAGAATAAAAGTTATTTTCTACTTTTTAGTCTACGCGAAAAACGTAGTTTTTTTAAAAAGTTTTTTTTATAAAGTATTTTTTTTATACTGTAGATATAAACAAGATCTACAACTTTTACTAAGATACTATAAAGTTTTAGTAAAATAAAGTATTTTCTTCAAAAATAACTGCAATTTTTTGAGATAAATTACTATAACTTTTCAGGATAGCCCATAGTAGTGGAATTTTTTTACATGCTTTGAATATACTATCAGAATATAAAATCAGCTTGAGTTTGATTACTGTCACAATCTCGAGCAATTTGACTTTGAAGTGTGACCAGAAATACATTTCAAAACAAAAAAATTAAAAATAAATTTTGTACGTTTTTAAAATTTTAGTTTTTTGCTTTAGATCAATAGTGATGAGATCTACACATTTGATGAGGCGCACATTTTGAGCATAAATTTGTCATAGTTTGAACAATTTTTTTAATCAAATTTCAACAAAATCATTTTTATACATTGTTTTAACAAATTTTACTTATTATTCAATTATTTTAGAACAAAACTTAATTTAAATCTTCTGATTTTGATATTTTTTGAAAATGCGATGTTTTTATGTTAAAATATCACTCTTAGAGCAACAATTCATTAAATTTTTTTTACTTTGAGGTAATTTTTTTATAATTTTTTGTAAATTACACTCATTTCTCTTATCTTTTTTTATCAAATTTTATTTTATAATAATTCTAAATATTGAAATTTAATGTAATATACATAAAAACACTCTTAAACATTTATAGAACATATTTTATCCAATTAACGTATGAATAAAGCTGGAATGTGCAAAGCTTTGATATGTTGTTAAAACAATGTATCAAAATGATTTTGTCGAAATTTGATTAAAAAAATTACAGGAGTCCTCGTGTTATTGATCGAGGGACTTAAGCGCATTTTTGTGTTAGCGATCAGTATTTGATTATCTATTTATTTTGCGTTCATTTACAGATCATTAGAAGATTAGAAGATCATTGATTTAAGTGCAATTAGCAAATAATTACAATGAATGATTATATAGACAAGCTTTATTATTTAACGGTCAATAAATAATTTGAAATTTTGAATTTCCATACAGCAAGGGTTTATCATCAAACGTTTTTTTGGAATTCAAATTTTTTAACGGTTAATAAATAGTTTGAAATTTTTCCCGCTAAAAGTTGCACTACAAAAACATTAGTTATAGTATAACTAAATAATTTGTTCCAATGAATTGCCATATATAAAAAGTTTATCATTTAACGATTATTCGAGATTCAAATTTTCTAACGGTCAGTAAGTTTTTGAAAGCTTCCCGCCAAAAGATGTACAAAAAATCATTTATTATAGTATATTTATCATTTTAATATCTTTCATTCTCCTATATAAATTGTTTATCATTTAACGGTTTTCTGAAGTTCAAATTTTGTAACGGTCGTATGCATTTGAAAGTATCTTGCCAAAAATTACAGTAAAAGCATTAATTATAGTATAAATAACAGTCTGTTGCAAAAAAAATTTTCATATAAAAAGGCTTGGTAATTTAACGGTTTTTTGAGATACAAAATTTTTCAACGGTAGATATAAATTCGAATTTATAAACGCTCTCATCACGTGTTTTTTCATATGAAATTTAAAAATCATTAATTATAGTACAAAAACACTGTTTCAAGACTTTTAAATGCGTTTCCCGAAAATAAAACAATGGACCTGAGCTAATAAAATAAACTAGAACTCTCTACGATGTTTAGTTAAAAAGTTTTTCTCCGCCCGAACGAGCAGACAAAGTGAGATATTACGCTACCTTTTAGAAACAAGTTTCAAAAATGCGCTAAAAATTGTTCAAACTATGACAAATTTATACTCAAAATGTGCGCCTTGGTGAGATCTTTTGATCCAATGCAAAAAAAACGTACAAAATTTATTTTAAATTTTTTTTTGTTTTGAAATGTATTTCTGGTCACACTTCAAATTCAAATTGCTCGAGATTGTGTCAGCAACCAAACTCAAGCTGATTGTATATTCTGATACAATTTGTATTTCAAATATGATTTGTATGATTATATATTTCAAAGCATGTAAAAAAATTCCACTACTATGGGCTATCCTGAAAAGTTATAGTAATTTATGTCAAAAAATTGCAGTTATTTTTGAAGAAAATACTTTATTTCATCAGCAAAATTTCACTACAAGTTTATAGTATCTTAGTAAAAGTTGAAGATCTTGTTTATATCTACAGTATAAAAAAAGATTCAGGATCATTTGATTTAAAAGTGAAGTCCTAGACGAACGTAATCATACTGAACACGTGCTTTTTGGAAAATGTTTATTATCTTAAAATGAAGCTCTTGTTTAAAGCTACCAAATAAAAAAAAATGAAAGAGATTCATCAATCCAGTGAATTGTAGTGATAGTTTTAATGGGGCGAGAAAATATCTCAGAACTTGGGCCAAATTGGCTACTTTTGTAAGTATTTTCATAAATGGGAATAATAGAGATATCATTTAGACCAAAAAAATAATTTTCGGAAAAGTTTTCGATTTCTGGCCCATAGTGCATATATTTTTAAGTATTTGTATAGGAAAATGCTATTATCAATATTAACAGAAACCCTTTTATTATATCATTCTAGACTTTGAAGAAACCCAATTTAAACTGCAAAAAGGAAATGGAAATTGGCAAGAACAGTTTGCTCAATGGAACCTAAACAATTAAATTTTGTAGTATCATTTGAACTAAATTTTCAAATATTTATTTAGACTGCTTAATATTTATGATAGTCGACAAATTTGCATCTAGAGAAAGTTTTTAAAATTTATTTGATTAAGATTTATCGCATTCTTAAGAATTTATTTTCTAAAAGGTGGCTTAATAATGCACTCTAAGGTAAAACAAAAATTTTAGCTATAAATTTATCTAATTAAGAGAAAAATTGATTCAAATCAAATTTTTTGTACAATTTTATCTGTGGAATCACCCAAATCTGTGGCGTCAAATTATAAACGATCGAAACTTTAAAATTTCTTGTCGATTTTTTTACTAAACTTAACTAGGTTTTCAGTTCTTGTAATATAATTTTTCATTTCATATCTCCTAATTCATTTATCTAAGCACAAATTATCCTTTTAGTTAAGATATTTTGATTATTCAATCCGTTGCTTTGTGACCAAAAATGGAATTTTGTACAAGTTTAACAGGGGAATTCAAAAATGCATACCCAATCCTCGTTTTTGCAGAATTAAATGCATATTAAATGAAAGATTAAGATCTGTTCTTCAATATTTATGCCAATTTATGCTACAAACTCCTGCAAAAAAGCTTATTTTGCTAGAAAAATCGATTCTTCGAACGTCAACTTTATGTCACAAAGAAACGCAAGAGCTTAAATTTTGCTAATCCATGAGAAAATTACAAAGTTTTTGAATTGAAAATTCTTAAATTCGGTATTTTAAAGCAATATTCTGTACAAATTTCATTAAAATCGAAAGCGAATTGATAAATTTCCATTGTTCTTCGAGTAAAATTTTTGTGGTAGTCTTAGTAATATTAAAAATCTGTAACAGTGTTGCAAATGTAGATGTCTACACTAGATGAAGAATGTAGATTCTTCAATATTTTTTGTCTAGCTAAGAAACTTTCTTCATAAAGATCGATTCTACATGTAGAAAGAAAAAAACCATCTACATGTAGATTGTGTCTACATGTAGAATCTGTCTACATGTAGATTCGATGTAGATGTCTATAATTCTAAATTTTTTCCAGATCTACATCAGAGAAGAATGTAGAATCGTAGACATCTACATTAAATCTACATGTAGACAGATTCTACATGTAGACACAATCTACATGTAGATGGTTTTTTTCTTTCTACATGTAGAATCGATTTTATGAAGAAATTTCTGTCTCAGAATTTATCTGATCCAGACAATTAGCCAGAATGCAACACAGATTCTGTAATAATTTTACATGTACATATATTGGTATTCACAAATGATTGCTTAGTTAAATTAAATTAACCCTGGAATCACTCATATTTAAATTTTTAGATCTTTCGAAAAAAAGGGTACTATTTTAACAACAGATAAATTATTAACGAGATAGGTTTTCATATTTTGGTGATTTTAAAGTGTTTAAGCTGCTGACGATGCGATTTCACGACATCTTCCTTGTTTTGTGTGTTTTAATTTTGGTTCTGGATATGATTTATATCCGACTGGATCTTTTTTTTTTGGTTAAGGTCTTAATCTGATTTCTACTAAATGTTAGTTTTTAATTCCAAAAATTATTAACATGACTTAGTTTTAATGATCTTCGTGAGAAAAATGCGCTTATTTCGTCGGTTTACATCTCGTACAGTTATTTTAAAAAAAAAACTGAAACTAATATGTTGCAAATAACATAATTTAGAAGAAAATTTATTGTATAAAACATTTAAATAAGAAAATTATAATATTGCAACAAATTAATCAAATTATTTCCAGAACAAACATTCCAGAAACAAAATAGTGTACGAATAATTACTTATAATATAAGTTTTGTATAAGTCACACTATTTTGGTCAACGGCACATTTTTCTACATAAATTTTTTATGGCACTCCTAAATAGTCTCGCGACAATGAAATGATTTTCATGACCTTTTTGTAGTCATAAAGATAAATATATAGGGTTATAGCATTCAAATTTTTTCGCGGCATACTTCGAATTCTTTCACGGCACACTAGTATGCACGCGACACTTAATTTAAGAACTAATGAATTATGTTATCAATAAATATCAATTATATAAAAAAAATATATTCAAAAGTTTTATAAATTGTTTTTCTTTATAAAATTTGAATTCAGTAAAAATTAAGAATGATTTTATAAGTTATTATTTATTGATCACTTCATAATTAAAATAGATTTTTTTCTAGATGGGCCTCGACTTATTTTTTAAGGACTTTTGCTTAAGGGTTCGTTCACTTATTACGTAACGCACTAGGGGGGGAGGGGGGGTCTAAGATTTTGTTACGGTTTGTTACAGGGGGAGGGGGGGGGTCTAAATTTTGTTACGTAACTTTTCAAAAATTAATTTTTTTTTATAATTTTTTCTATATTAATTTTAAATTTTTTTAACGTTAAATTTTAACTTAAGAACTTTTTAGTTATAAGTAAAACTGTTTATTTTTCATCGTTAAAATGATAAAAGTGAGTCAATAAAAGAACAATTCCATGAATGAAGGGAACTTTAATTTTTTAAGCACAAAATTTTCGTTATGATTTATTTTTTTTTTGTCTAAATAAACATATTTCACTGCTACTAGAAGGAGTTATTTTTCAGCAATTAATGTTTTTTCAAAGCTAACCATCAAGAAAATAGCTTGGTTATGTTAATGCTGATCTTGGAAAAATTCTTAGCACTTTTTTCGTAATGATAACATATTAACAACAAAAAAGTTAAAATATTTTTAATTAGACATGTATAAATCAGTTGATTATCATCAGAAACGATGAATAATTGATTTTTTAAGATGTATAAGCAATAAGATCAAAGAAAATTTCAAGATTTAGAGAATTATCAAAAAAAAAATTTAATTTTCAAAGCGCTTTTTTTACTCATGGAATTACTCTTATTAGAATTATGTTTTGAAATCTCAAAACAAAAATATTTTGTGTGGATCAATGTTATATAAATTAAGAAAAAGCTAAAATATTTAATAAAAGTTTTGTAAGCAGAATTTTGATGCAAAAATAATTTAAAAAAACAACGATTTCTCAAAATTTGAAAATTACAAAAAGCAAATCCGAAAGATGAAGTACGTAAAAATTAAGTTTCGAAATTTTGATATTCGTTATTTTAATACCCACTATTATTGTTGAATATCAAAATGTATTTGCAGTTGAAGATCATTTTCAACCAATTTGGGAAAACGACTAATGATTACAAAACTTATGAGTTTTTTTTTGCGTTTAGTTAATAATATGGATGTAAACGATTAATATATTTTTTTATTGCTTTCCTTCTATTTACTTTTACATACTTAAAGGAAGTATAATAAACATTTGATAAACAATTTAAATGAAAAAAATTATTGTTACGTTATGGGGGGGGGTCTAAGATTTTGTTACGCTTTGTTACAGGGGGGGTCTAAAAACTCGTTTTTTTGCGTTACGTAATAAGTGAACGAGCCCTAACGGAAAAAATAATTTAAATTTTTCACTAACACTTTGATACAAAACATCAAAAATTAAATTCAAAATTTTTTAATTATTCAATCATTAATTCCAAATATTATTATTTGAATACGAAAAGTAGATGATAGATGCTGTTCTGACTATTTTAAAAGCTTTTGCATCATTATTGAGTGATATTATCGTGACTTTTCAAATGTCATTTTCGATTTTGTTTGTAAACAAACAGTTAACAGTTAAAGTGATTTTTTTAAGTAACGATAAAGTTTCAAGAAGTGAATTGTACACCAATAGATGGGGTTTATAATTCTCTTTTCAGAAAAGTAACTCTAAATTTGTCACTTTTAAGGATAAGGAGACAATTAAGAAAAACATAGCGTCACTCACGTACAATTTTTTTTTGTGACGAGGCCCAGATTATAAATGAATTAGATAACTACTCTGTTTTCTGATAAACGGACTACAATCAATTAGTCATTTATCTTCAGATAACTATGAATAAAAAAACGAGCAAAAACAAAAAAAACTGTTTGTTTATTTCTCACATGAAATTCATATTAGAGTAAATTTCATAGAATTTTGAATCATTTTTTTTTATTTTAAAAATGTCTACGTATGATACATTTATTTTTAGTCCGTTATAAGCAAATATTTTGAATCCAGTTAGTTTATCATAGATAGAATGGCTGTTTGATGATCGCAAAGCGGTTGATTGAATAGTTTTGAACGGATATGCTAGTAAATGTTCCCCATTCATTGCCACTTGAAAAAATGAACTATCCATAAAGATTGCTAGTTGGAATGAATTGTTTAAAATAAATGGAAAACGAAGACATCTTAGCTCAGTTTGCCATCTAAAAAAACACTAAAACGTTTAAATAATAATGATAAAAAAGAATTGTTAAATTCACTCACTCTAATTTATCATTCATACTGTTGACAACTATGACTTTCTCATCAAATCTTGGGTTAAAGTGTAGCAATTGTTTTTTTGAGCTCATTTCGTTGAATCGTATGAAAAACGATCCAGTTGTTGCTCCGCTTAATTTCATACGCAAAACGATGATTGTGTTTTCAGAAAACCTACATGGCAAATCTGAACTAAAAGATATTGTTGAGAAATCTTCCTGATTTTGTGGCCATGGTTGCGGATAAATTTTTCTGTGATCTATTTGTGTTACATAATCAACATCTCCTGATACTCTTATAAGCTTAATACAACTTAAATCACACTTATAATCAAAACTGCATAAATGCTCATCATTTAAAGCAATTCTAAATTTACAATCCAGTGTTAAAATATAAAATTTGATATTATCATCTTTGTTATTTTTCTTAACTTTTAAACATTTCTCTGACTTTTTATCTCCGTTTACAAACGAGAGAAGCTTGATACAATTGTTTTTCTCATCAATACTTATTGAAAGAGGAATGTTATTGATTTCGTCGATATCATTGCTAAAATCGATTTTACTCCATAAAGATTTCTCTTTTAATTTAAACGATACAATTAAGATATGACCGATTTCAACATTAGTGTATAAATTTGATAAACATACAGTCATTTCCTCGAAATGCTATTTTTTATTATCTAATACAAAAACCTTACTTCCTAAACACTCCTAAATACAATTATGTTTTAAGAATTAAAATCAAAAAATAATAAATTGAATCTAATTTTTCAAAATTAAAAAAACTTACAAAAGTCCTCTTGCTTTATCGAGTGACTTCAGCGCATTTTGGCACAGCGAACAGTATTTGTCTACTTGTAAATGTGCTCCATTAATCTCATACATTAAATACAGAACATGGGCCAGTAAATTTTATTAACACAATTTAATCAAAGGGTAGAAGAAGACATAAAATTTTTATACGCTATAATAATGGATAAAGAAATTTTAAACTTCTAAACTCACTCTATATATAATATAAATACCCAATTTCCTCCCTGACGTCAATGATTCAGATTTGAAAAAAATGTTCAAAAATTCAAACATATTCACCTTAATAAAACTATATGGGCGATTCCACGGATGAATTTTTACAAAAAACCTGACTTTAAAACAAATTTTCTCTCTATCAAATGACTTTATAGCTCCAGTCTTAACACTTACTTATGCAAATCACCGAGATCTATCTTTATGTATAATTAACTTTTGTCATCAAGCTTTAATTAATGAAATATTTGGATTTTTATCAGCGTTGGTATATTACAAAATGTTGAATTCTAATTTCGAAAGCAGAAATATTCCACTTTAAAGACATCTAGACAACTATTAATGGTTGTTGTGCTGTTTATTTTATCCTCTTTTATGATTCTGCATACCTATATTGACTTTAAATGCACTCAATAGACAGAAAAATGAATAATTTTTATGCAATTAATGTACCGTTTTTTCTTTATAAGCTAGTAGCTTAGAAGAATAAAAAAGTGATTTTTTTGGCTAACTAGTAGCTTAGTAACGAGAAAAAGCTTAGTAAAGAAATTGAACTTTAATGAACATTTTGAATTTTTTAACTTAATTAAAGAAATTTTGCTATCTTCTCGATTTTAATTCATTGTTAATGTCATAAGGCATTTAAACTGATACTTAGAAAGTTGAAAAAGTTTAAACTTTATTTTTGGGAGTAGCTTAGTAAAGATTACAAAAAATGTTTGAGTTCAAAAAAACTTTACTAAGCTAGCAGCTTAGACAAAGAGCGTGCTCACTTTTGTGAGCACGTTAATGAGCATGCTCAAAATCATCATTTAACGTGCTCACCTGAGCACACTCAGTTTAACATGCTTGTGAGCACATTGTGAATATGCTCACTCATACTGGAGAGCATGCTCGTGAGCATACTCAATTACCAAATTTAAGCATGCATGCTCACTTGAGCACACTCTTAAGCATAGTACATTGTGAATGTACTCTAAAAAAACATTTTTTTTTCATTAATCTTTTCATTAAGATTTCACATTTTATTGAGCGTGCTCAAGAGCACATACTCTGAGTATGCTCATGATTTTTTACATTCTTCACAAGTCAAAGTTTCAAGAATTATATATAATTATCCCCTTTTTAAATTTAACCATTGTTAAAAAAACATTTTGAGATCAATTTCGAAGTATTTAACTTTTTTATAGTTTATATATGAGTTATTGCCATAAAGAGTTATATAGATAAATTGCAGCAGTGGTGTAAAATCCAAAATTTTCTTAAGTATCTTTTTCAGATTATTAATGAACAAAATTCATTCTAGAACATCTAAAAACCTTACAACAGCAAAATATATCAAAAAAATTGTTAAATAATAATTTAAAAATTAATTTTTTGAAAGTACGAGTAGTAGCTTATAACGAAAAAACAGGGTAATATACCAACGCTTAAGCCAAATCCGTGAGAAAATGATTTTTAAAAAGCAAAGTTTTATTTTAATTTTTTTTTTTCATTTTAATTGCACTTTATTGCATTTATTGACAACATACTGTCCGGTATGTCCATTTGAAACCAAGACTTTAAACTGTTTTAAACACTCATAAGTTATTTATCCTCAAATGCATGTCTTAATATTTTGAGGAGTCAATAATCAAGTAAGATTAAAGACATTAAAAGTCCTAAACTAGAGAATTTCAACAAAAAATTTCATTACTTCAATGTGTCTGTAAAATATTATGCACATAGGTTTTTTGAACATTTTTTTCAAATCTGAATCATTGTGCTGACTCTAAATGGAAACCAGCCATTTGTGAAACCGTTTGAAGACAACTTTTTTGGGGTTGTATAGGGTCCGTGGTGAGTCAGGGGGGTTGTGAAGCAAATTATAGAAAATATAATTATTTGCGCAGTTTCTAATTAAACATAGCTTAAATTTCTGGATCCTTTGTGTTTTTTACTGAATCCTGCATCGTTTTTTAACACAAACTGTTAATTTTTTTGATATATGTTTACTAACTCATTTTGTTAGATCATGTCTACTGTGTTTTTCATTATACAACATCTCCCTCTTTAAATTTGTCCATATCTTTTCATTGGTTGCGGTTGATTTGTGATAGCTGGACCAACGATGCTATTGGGACTTTAGGTAGTTGCAATGAATCGAAAAAGCTGTCAATTAATCACCGCCTACACTATTCCTATCCTCAAGATTCCTTTTATTGCTGCTTTTATTTACCCTGAGAAACTTTGAGTTTTTCCGAAAAATGGAACCGGTACTAAGTAAGATCACATAAAATCTAGGCTGTTCTAACATAGCAATGATTTCTTGATCTTTCCAAGTACCGTTTTGTATTTGAAGCCAAACTTTATCGACAACACCAAATTCCTCCCGGGTGGACACAGCCAGTTAAGGTCCATTATTGGACAATTATTTAACAGTCTTTTAACTTGCCGAAATGTTTACGATATAGAGAACTAGACTTTAACTGGACATTCATGCTATTCAATCAAGTGCTCGAAACTCAAAAATAATTTTCCTTACTTTTTTGACCATATACTTCACAAGCGCTTGTAGAAATCATTTATATAAGGTCTACCAAAATTTGTATGAAACTTTTAAGTAAATATAACTGTTTCACGCGCAAGTGTTCGAGACTCAAATTTTACTAAAGATTTTTCATAAGTGATAGTGTACTTTAATTAATTAATTACACTAATACAATAATAAAATTTTACAAAAGAAAAAAAATGGAGAAAAAGACACGTGTTATTTATTTTATTTCGATTTTTTTGTAACTGGATATTAACTAGACATATGTGCCATTCTTATGTCTAGTTAAATGGAAAGCGCAAAATATGTCATTAGCCGTCCCTAAGTCTAGTTGCAAAGGCACGTCAATGGATACTTACTCGCCATGAATAGGCAAGTCAATGGCAAGCTTTTAACTAGTACTTTGTCCACTCGGGCCTCTAGCGGTAAAACATTTGTATTATAATAAAATTTGGCTTTAAAGTTCTTCTGCTTCAATTTTTTTTTCTACATTCATATTTAAGCGTGGTTCTGATGATTCAACCCGATTCAACCATCGATAACTTGTCATACTACTGCTTCTTTACATACTGCTTCACTAAATTCTGTCTGTCATATACTTGCTAGCTGCAGTCTTAAAAACTTTGGAAGACTCTTTGGTACAATTGTAGTTGTTTGAAGTCTTTTCACTGTTGTCCTTCAGATTTTATTCTGATTTTATATTTGTCAATTCATTGATTTGTCATTCATGCAAATGCACTTTTTCAATTATAACATTTAATAAAAAATTTCTTTTAACAATTAATTTTTCTTGCATTTTTGAATTCTTTATTCCAATGACAATGCGATCTCTTAATTTGCTCTTCTTTATCCTTGAAATCACACCTTATTGCTAATCTGCGTACTTTTGATACGAATCGTTCAAATGTTTCATTATGATTTTGTACTGCTTGATAGAATTTCATCCGATTAATATAGATGCTCGTTGCTAGATTAAAATGTTTCTCACAACCATCGATAATTTTTTGGAAACAGTATCTATCCTCTTCAGACAACCCTAATTGATCAACTTATATATTGCTGCTTGATTCCCAATAAGTAACGTCAGATAAGCAATTTTGATTGTTTCACTTTTATCACCAATTTCATAGATTTCAACGAATCATTTGAGTTGTCTCTTAAATCTTGTCTATTCCTCTCTCAAAGTGATTGAGTAAATATCCATCGGAGTCACCAAATAAATGTATTTCAGCTGCGCCATGTTATATCATTGAGCTATGTTTATTAAATCATTTTGCTAGATCATGTTTACTGAGATCTTTATTACACACAAACAACATTTTTTCACTGATTTTAAGAAAACAATGGATTTTCTTCACATTTTGATTGAAGCTTAAAATATGAGTACAGCTAATCGATGGAGATAGTAATTTTTTTGCAAATTTTTGTAAAGATCCCATCCCTCATGTCCTATTGAGAAGATATTGGTTTGAAAATGTCATGTCAAAATTTTTGTTTGTGTGAATTTACTTGTGCCAATTTACATTTTCGAAAATAACAATATTCTTTAAAAATGGATAAGTTTCTCGCAAATGACCCTTTTTTATAAGTCACTAATCTGAAGATCTGTACGACCAGCGAAGTAAGTAAGTATAAGTCACTGAAAAGTTTTGTAAAAAATGCACTAAAAGTCTTTCGTTGAATGAATTAAATAAAGATTAAAAATACCATTCATCAAGACAATCTTACATGGTTTGTAAAATATTTATAATAATAAATTGCACCGATCATCGTGTCATCATAGGATAATAGGGGAAAAAAAAATCAAATCAACATATCTAGAATTTAAATTTTTGACCAGGTACCTAGGTTGCACCTAAGTATATTGCAGTATATTGTATATTTTGTGTAAAAAAAAATCAAATTTTTCGTTGCACAAATTTTGAGGCTCTGCAAATAGAAATGAGAATTAAGCATTTTTCAGTTATCGGACTATATTTTCTATTTCTTTGTTCAAAAGTATATCATATTATATATTTTTGGAAAGATCTTGATTTGAGGGATACAAAAAACTTAATTATATTAACCAATTTTATCCAGGGTTGGAACACTAGTGCTCAGAATATGGTGAAACCATACTTTTTCAACGCTCTTTTTCACCTAGTTCCAGTTGGTCAAAAAATATGTTTTTTATGATTTTTAAATAGATAAAATAACATACTAAAACGCAATACAGAGTTTTTTAAAAAACAACTCTGGGAAACAGAAATATGAATTTTTCAACTCTGGCAACTTTTATATGGGATATCCACTAAAATGAGGATAACTAATCACAGGAAACGAGTTTTGAAATATTTTAAACGGATTTGAATAGGTATTATAAAGTGAAATAATATAAATAAAATATTTTGAATTACATAATATTCAAATGTTAAAAATACGTTATATGTGATTTTCAATGATAACCACAATATAATTATTTTTTTAAAAATTAAGATACTTAATCAAATTTTCTATGATTTTTTAATTGAAAACATGTTTCTAGTTAATACCTTATCACAAATAATAGAAAAAAGAAGCAAAAAGTATATAATATGATATACTTTTGAACAGGGGCGTAGCCAGAAAATTTTTAAGGGGGGGGCCCATTTTCGAAAATTAAAAAAATTGTTATTTTGTATCCTTAAATCTATATTCATTCTTCATAAGTTTAAATATTTAATTCATTATTCATACATTAAATTTAATTTTTCGTGCTGATTTTGACATTTCTTTCATCACTTCCTCTACATTAACTGGTTTTTCTCTATAAATACTTAATAAAACAA